AATAANAAGGCCTACGTGATTGTATGTCTATATATAGACGACATACTAATAATGGCTAATAGTCATAAAATAATGAAAAACACTAAGAGAAAGTTAACAAAATATTTTGACATGAAGGACTTGGGTGTAGCTGATGTAATATTAGGGATTAAGATTACTAGAACATCAAAAGAAATTATAGTTTCCCAATCTCTCTACATTGAGAGTATACTTAAAAGGTATAATATAATTGAGGAAAGTCCTGCGAAAACTCTTATTGACACAAATTTGCACTTAGTCAAAAATATGGATGAATGTGTGTCAGCTAAAGTATTCATAGGTTATAGGCATTCTTATATATATTACAAACTACACTCGACCGAACATAACATTTACTGTGAATAAACTTAGTAGATTCACAAGTAATCCAAGCCATAATCAATGGAAAGCTTTAACAGGGGCTCTTAGGTACTTGAAGTATACTTTAATCTATGGATTGCACTTCACAAAATATCTCGCGGTAGTAGAAGGATATTGAAATGCGAATTGGATATCCGATATAAAAGATTCTAAGTCAACTGGGAAAGAAGCAAAATTGCTTCATAACTTCTTGGAAGAGATTCTATATTGGCCTAAGTCGATACCTGCTATTAGTATACATTGTGAAAGTCAATTGGTTATTGGAAGAGCTCGGAGCAGCATATATAATGGTAAGTTTAGACATATATATCGTAGACACAATACCATTAAACAACTATTTTCTAATGGTATCATCTCCATAGATTATGTGAAATCAAAAGAGAAAATTGCGGATCCAATTAAAAAAGGTTTACCAAAAGATCAAGTGCATTGCCTATCGAAAGGAATTGGATTAAAGCCTACTACGTAAGAATCTTTGTAATGGTAACCTTACCCTGTTGACTGGAGATCCCAAGATCTTGATTTATCGGGACAACTAAGTAATGAAATTTCAATGAAGCACTTGAGAAAATGTTTCCTAACTCATTACTACGATAATTAAAAGTGTTTTATGCAGAATGTTAAGGTTAAGATGTCATTTTAATGATTACTATATCTTGATTAAGTCAAGTGGAATAGGGCAGTATACTATTAATAGGAAGTTACATATATAAGTGTGAGGTAAGGCCGCCTCAATGAAAAATGTTCAAATGCTGAAATTTTATAAACACTTATGAAACCCAATAGTGGTTTAAGGCCAAAATGAATCAAGTCATGAGAACCATAAACGATTTAAGAAAGATATCTGTGTGAGTATTATTTTCTTGGTTTACCAATGGCTGAATGGATCAAGATACAACATTCACAAATTAGCCAAGTAAACCCGATAGTATTTCACTAAGAAAGGTTCAAGTCTACCTTACCTGATGTAGTGTTTTTCTGCTCTTTCTATAATGCATCATATTTCTGTAGAGCATGAGAATATTCGAATTTCTATTCATGTGGGGGATTACTGAATTTGGTTTATAGAATGAAATTAAGTATGGATAAGTGACTTTCTTATCAACTTCAACCAAATATTTGAACTTGATTTGATAGTCAAATTATGAATATAAATAGACTAACTTATTCTACTCGTCGTGGTATATTTGAAATCTTAAAATCAATTCCAGATGAATGAGAAATTACGGTCCAAAGTTGGATAAAAAAAAGGAAATACGGGTTGAAAAATGGCTATCTCCATCGTTTGTACATCTCTCAAGCGACAGTTTAAAGACAGGTTAGCGAGATAAGCTCTGATGAAAAGGTGTCACTATCGCTCGAGCGAGAGGTCAGCGACGGCTAGCGACAGCAAATGCTGCAACTTTTGGCAAAATGTTATTGAATTTAGAGCGCGACATTTCACTCACAACCTTTCATCTTCTATATAAAGAATCATTTGGACATCTATTAAGCATCCTATTTCATTTGCATTGAACATTACATAAAAAACTCTTGCAAAATACTCTCCAAAAGTCATTCTAAAATCATTTTCATGTAGAGAAAAATTTTTGTTATAAGTTAGTTGTTACTTGTGGTTTGAAGTGTTTCCACCACAAGTTGTATCTGCTGTATTTTAGGAGACAAGTTTCGTAGCTGGTAGCACCGCTGCGAGGCAATATTGTCTTACAGAGAAAGTGTTTTTACTTGCTTCAGATTTCAATTCTTCATTTTATTTTTCTTCTTCTTATCTTCTTTCTTTCCATTTTCTAAAATTTAATTACGCTCAAGCGAATTGAAATTAATCATTTCCTTATTTTAAACAACCATTTACATATACTACCGCCCGAACATTTTTTAATGCTGAAAATTAAAAGATATACAAGTTTACAATGTGAAATTTGGAAACTAGAGAGTAAACGAAATGATGGTGTGTTTGATTAAATTTTTTTTTTTTTCGAAAATGTTATTTTTCCACCCAAATTCCTACTTTTGAAGTGTTTGATTGACATTTTCTTCATGAAAACTATTTTTCAAAAAGTTGGTAATGTGACCATATTTTTCTTAAAAACAAGGAAAACATTTTTTTTTGGGGGGGGAGGGGTAGATTTTTATTTTCTAAGAAATTCACCCTCTCTCTCTCTCTCTCTCATCTACACCCTTTCTCTTATTTACCCATCAATAAAAGATAAACAAATATAATATTTTTTAGGTTGAAAATTAAACTAATAAAACATATTTAATTAATAATTTTCATACAAATGAGTTCTAAACAATTCAATTATCTAGAATATATTTCTTTTTCATACAAATTATATGTTTGAGATCAAATACACCGTAAGATTTATATCTCATTTGTCCTCCTCACGCTTCTCGTTATCATACAGTGCATGCAATATTTTGTTGGATGTCGATCGTTCAGAATTACTATATCAGAGTAAATAAATGTCTGCCGACCATATATAATCCATTAAACTATGAGCGTGTCTTACAATTCGTGAGTTTTGCTTGTTACGTATAAGTCTTTCCTTAAATTATAATTAAACAATAAACCACATACAAGCCCATGGTATCAAGATAAACATTATATAAAAATAAAAGTAGCTGCTGCAAGTTCAACCTAATTTCATATGAACACTTTGAACATATTAATTAATATAATTAAACTATTGGTTTACTTGTCTTCTTTTATAACCTAATGTATATTTTAAAGTATTGTCGTAAGTTTCACTCACAAGTCGCGTTGGATGATCACGATGCATGACACTTATTTGACTTTGTACAATTTCAAAATGTTGACCAGATTTTTAATTTCATTTCAGAAGTCAAAGTGTTTATATTGAAGGCTTCAAGTCAAGGTCCAAACTCTAGTTAATTGAATAATTTTGTGCAAATATTAATGTGTTTGAATTTGTATAAACTCTTAAGAAAATTACTTGATAATGTAGTTTGCAACATTTAAAATGAGGCAGGTTGGGTTTTTTTTTTTTTTTTTTNTTTTTTTTTTTTTTTTTGAGTTCAACATTTATTAGTCTAACAAAACACCCTCTTGTAATTAATATTGGTTTATAATGAGAAATTATATACATATAATAAGAATCATTGACCCTATTTTTTTCCCAAGGTTGAGGTAAAAAAAAAATTTTAAAAATGCCTCGTTAATTTCCTAGCAATTTTGCTGAAATTAACTACATACATACATATAAAATTCCAAACATTTTACCTATTTATTGTCGAGGGAGATATGGTTATAAAGTAAGTAATAAATGCAGGTTCTTGAGGCCAAAGCTACTCATATTAATAATTAATATTGATCACGTATGATGAAATTTCAAGTCTTAATATCATATCAGAATCCGACAAATTCTAATGAGCAAATGAAATTTAAGATTGGTGGTCCCAAATAAGCTATCATCTTTAGGGGGGGAATGATAAGGAGTAAATCCTACAATAGATATATATAAAAATAAATAACCAAACAGATAGGAGATTGAAATAACCGCTTAATAAGATTGATCTTTTTAAGATATAAATTGAAATCTTAGCTATCTTCAAATTAATGGAATAATGAAGCCATATTTGTTAACAAAAAGCAGCATATTAGTGCTAATTTCAATGGATGGCAAGAGAAAATCTTGAATGTAGCGTGCACTCTTCCATTTTCTATATCATGCCTATTGACACACTTTATTTCATTTCCTTAGAGTTTCTTCTTCTTTTCTTGGATGTTTCCTCTTTCTTTTTCATTCTTTATATCTCTATTTTTTTTTTGTGATTTTTTTCCTATTTCCATCTCATTGGCTGCCTAAAACTAGCAAAGCCATCACAACCAAATGAGAATGAGAGGTTAATGCATATTTGCCACTCTTTCTTTCTATGTGGAAATGGAGAGACCCTGGTATATTCTCGCAATGAATTGTCGCTTTTAGTTGAAATGAATACATATACCAGAATTTCTATGTTGAATAAACACATCTTCCATTTTTGTGTTGTAGTAGTAAAAGAATAACTGAGAAATTACAGTTCTATTTCCATGACTGAGTAGAGTTAACGCAAAATTGTAATGAATTCTACTAGTTGAATGTCATTTGCGCTATGAAGATACATTAAATGATATTCTTTTAGTCCAAAAATAAAATAATACTATACCATCTAATTAATTAATTACTAGTACTATCCATATATTATAATTCGATGCACCTAAATGAGTAGTAACTAACGAGATATTTACAACTTAAATTAATATTTATTAATTACAGAAAATTTGAGTAAATCAAAATTTGGACTTTAAGAAGAAGAACTGAAGTTGCACCGAAGTTTATGAATCACTTGAACGAAATTTCCATTCTATAAGAATATAATTACTAGCTAATTCCCATTAATTAGTTTTATATAACGAAAATCAAGGAATGGTAATGTTGACATGCATTTTCTAAGCCTCATTTAGTCAACTCACGTGCTATATAATATGGCCCATCTGTCCTCACTTCTCATGCAAAATTCCTATAAATACCTTTATCCCCTACGTTCAAAATCCATCATCCATCGTCTAGTTATCAAGTAAACCTTGAGCACATAAAATTATGGCTGTATACTCCAAGAAGATTGGCATTATTGGCGGTGGCATTAGCGGCGTAGCAGCAGCCAAACAGCTCTCAAAACACGAGCCGGTTGTGTTCGAAGCCACCGACTCTCTTGGAGGAGTTTGGAAACATTGTTCTTATAGGTCTACAAAACTCCAAACCCCTCGTTGTGACTATGAATTCTCAGATTTTCCTTGGGAACAAAGAGACAATTCGAGTTTCCCGTATTCTGGGGAAATTCTCGACTACTTGTACTCTTATGCTGAGCATTTTGATGTGCTTAAATTTGTAAAATTTAACACAAAGGTGGTCGAAATCCGCTTCACCGGTGACTGGGAATCGAAATCTGATGAATATGGAATCCCCTTGCCTGGAAAACCGGTCTGGGAAGTTGGTGTGCAGACCAATAATTCCCAAACCATTCAGGTATTTGCAAGGCAAAATTATTTGATTCATGTGGGAATCCATGCATTCACAAGTATTAATTTTGTGCATGAATTACAAGGTTATATTTTGCTTTGCATTAATTTGACCACTTCTGCAGTGGTATGCATTTGAGTTTCTGGTGATCTGCACCGGAAAATATGGCGATATCCCTGTGATACCTAAATTCCCACAGAACAAAGGCCCTCAAGTGTTTCAAGGACAAGTTTTGCATACTCTTGATTATTGCAAGCTCAACCAAGAAGAATCTACGCAATTACTCAAAGACAAGAAGGTCGTAATCTTTGGATACAAAAAATCCGCCATTGATTTAGCAGTCGAATGTGCAGAGGCAAACCAAGGTAATTATAGTACACAATATACACACACATACACAAACGAACACACACAATAAAGTTAAATTTCACATCTATTAAATATCGAAATAATATAATTAGTATATAAGGATTTGAGCGATTCCTCAAAACTTAGTGCGTGTTTGGTGCAGATTAAAATTCGATTTTTAGTAGATTGTGATAGAAGTTATTGAAATGTGTGGTTGAAAAGTTATGGGACCATAAAAAATTTGGTTAATATTGATTGTTTGACTTTGACTTAGATTAAAATCTGATTTTAATCCGTACCAAACATGACGAGGTTGGGAGTGAGATTTAGGGTTATAGGTTACAGAAATTGGCCTCTGAGCATAAAGAAGGGAGCTTGACTGTAAAATTCACGTGTGGCGCAAGGACACAAAAGTCTGCCTTAATGATCAGACAGTTGGAATGGCTGTCGCTGAAAACATAATAAAATAAATTTTGAAGAAAGTGTGGACAGATGCTTGGACTAAATGCTAAGTAGGAAGATTATTTTATGAGCTGGTTAATTAATTCTTCATAGTCATACTATTTTTTTTTTTTTTTCCTCCAATTCGAATGAAATTGACACTGCATGATGATCAGTCAACTTTCCATATGTAGTTAAAGCAATTGTTTAACGATTTATAAGGGGAAAAGAAAATTAAAAAAGCTGGGTCAAATTATACTAATAATTGAGCATATGATGATGTGGTGTTAGACAAAATTAATTTCTTAAGCTTTTAGTAGTTAATTACTCTTTAATATATTAAAAATTGCATAATAAAAGTCAATTTTCACAAAAGTCGTCTTGTTAACTTCTTCCTATAGTGGAAAATTTTTCTTTCCAGCCCGGCTGCTAATTAATTGTGGTGGTACATTTGTGTGCGTTGTAGGTCCACAAGGCAAACCTTGCACGATGGTCGTACGAACCTTACATTGGACTGTTCCGCATTACTCTATATGGGGTTTGCCATTTTACATGTTCTATTCAACTAGGGCATCCCAATTTCTACATGAAACACCAAATCAAGGATTCCTTAGGTCCCTCCTTGGCCACTTGATGTCTCCTATGGTAACTCACTCACTCTTGTCTTTTTCATTTTTTTCTCTGCTTTTTACTAAAAGAGGTCGAGCTGATAATTTCTCATTTATAATGGTTTTGCTGATGACAGAGACGGCTAGCATCGAAGATAATTGAGTCCTATTTGACATGGAAGCTTCCCTTGGAGAAGTATGGATTGAAACCCGAACACCCTTTTGAGGAAGACTACGCCTCTTGTCAAATGGCTATCTTGCCTGAGAATTTCTTCGTGGAGGCTGATAAGGGAAATATTTGCTTCAAACGAGCTTCAAAATGGTGGTTTTGGGAAGGAGGAGTTGAATTCGACGATGGAACCAAATTGGATGCCGATGTTGTGGTTTTTGCGACTGGTTTTGATGGCAAGAAAAAACTGAAAACTATTATTCCCGAGCCCTTCCACAGTCTACTTCAATTCCCCTCTGGAATGATGCCCTTATATAGGTATCGTATAACTCAATCTCAAAACGGCCATTTCAGTTCATCATCAAATGAGCAACACTAATCCATTATAATCTTTCTCTATGCTGACAGGGGAACAATCAATCCATTGATTCCTAACATGGCATTTGTGGGTTATATCGAGAGCGTTTCAAATCTCCACACATCAGAGATACGCTGCAAATGGCTATCTCGACTTGTAGACGATCAATTTAAGCTCCCAAGTGTGGAGAAAATGCTTGAACAAACCACCAAAGAAATGGAAATTATGAAGAAAACAACGAGATTCTTCAAGAGAAGCTGCATTTCGACTTTTAGCATAAATCATAGTGACGAAATCTGTGAAGAAATGGGATGGAGATCATGGAGGAAGAACAACTGGGTTGCTGAAGCTTTTAGCCCGTACAACAGCCAAGATTACGACGAGAAAAAATGAAAGAATACTACTTTCTCGACTCTACACTGTCGACTGTGCGTGCTAACTTTTTTTGTTGTCTGATGTATTTATTTTACTACAAAATAAATGAAATAATGGGGGCAATTTTCATATATAATGTACTAGAAATTGAAATTTTGTTTTCATGAATAAATTTAGTGTAATTGTTCAGGGACTCTCTGTTCTTCCCATTCGAACAATAGGCCTTAAATAGCACTAAAATACAACACATTATCCAGTTCCAAATTGAGGTTCAATCCTCTTTACAGAAAACTAATTACAAGAGAGAGAAATTAAGTTTCACAGCTAACAGTATCAGAAAAGTAATCCGGATTAATAGTTAAGCACTTTGAAGAAACTTCAAGGTTTCATCGATATGCTTTTCAGGTTGGAACTGATTATTGTAGATAAGTCGAACGACTCCATTCTTATCAAGAACATAAGTTTGCCTTCCAGGCAAAGCGCCAAATAGGTCTGATGGGACGCCCCACTCTTTTCTTACTTTGTTACTGTCATCACTCAGCAATGTAAATGGAAGCTTGTATTTCTGTTTGAAGGCCTACAACACACCAATGTGAGCACGCCAGTCAGTTATAACATGGTAGGAATGTATGGAGCATAATTCTAAAATTATTCAATTAAAACAAAGTTGATAACTAAATCAAATATTATTCGCAAAAAAATGCAATATTGTCTTTTTGAACTGAACCCCAATTGCCTGTGCTACTAAAGTCATGTACTTAATATCAAAAAGTGCCAAATATGCAGCCTGTGACTATCAATCTGCAGCATGAAGTGGAAATTGACAAAGAATATCTGGTATCTGTCAATTAAGACTTGAAAAAGTAACCGCCAATTGTGAGTTTTCGTTGGCAATTTACGGTTCTTATTGATACTTTCGATGAATTATGGCTTAATATCTTACATATATTATTTGTTAGGTAAAACTCGATGCTTGAAAGTGAATTTGGAAGAAAGTAACGAAAACCGGCTAAAAAGAATGATTTCCGAAGTTCAGGAACCAAAATTGTAAATATTTAAAAGTTGATTTGGACCAAAGAACGATGATTGGAGACTGTACGGAATATTGGATATAATTGGAAGACGAAGGACTAAGATTTCATGAAGAAAGGATTTGAATTGAATGAAAGGAAGAAAGCTGAGGACCATACACCATGCGATTGCATGGGTTAAACCTCCTACAATCGCAACCTTTTAATTTGACCAACCAAGAGCAGACTGAGGAAGCGATGCTACCGCAAGCACTATGCCCATGCAATCACATGGGACATTTTTAGATTGAAGGGACTGTTACATGGGCCATTTTTAGATTGAAGGGACTGTTTTCTTATTCTGTTAAAACTCTTTATGGAAAGGATTTTTATGCGATTCTTGACCTAATTTCGGCCTCTTTAATTACAGAATTTGGGCAATCATTGAAAAACCTCTCACACCTCTCTCATATCATAAAATTCATGCACATCTTACAATTAAGGGAGGCCAATCTACCATAATTCTAAGAGAATAACAAATCTACGCATGGATTTGAAGGCAAGAAACATCAAGAAATTGAAGAATCAAAGCTTGAGATTGAAGATCAAGAACAAGAAATTGATTCTACATATTTCAGGTATCATAATATTGGAGTAATGTTTTTTCATTATTCTTGTTGTATTATCATTAATACATGTTAGGCTAGCTTTTCTTGTGTAGGATGAATATGAATCTTATTATTTGATTATTTTTACTTTAAAGACCAAGTAGTTTAGTTAAGGCTCAATAGCACAAAACATCCCTACGTTTGACACTTATTGCGTAACATGTCCTTACGTTTCATTTCTTCTGTATTTTCATCCTTATTTCAACGTTTCATTGCGAAAAACATCATTTTCACTATTTTTGAATGTAAAATGACCAATATACCCTCATATTTAAATAAAACAAAAAAAATGAATAAGACTGGTCATTCAAACCATCTAACCTCCCTCTACAACCTCCGGTCAATGTCTGGCCGGGAACCAACTCTACCATCACCGTTAATGCTGGCTACAACCATCAGCCCCAACATTGTAGAGGGAGGTGAGATAGTTTGAATGGTGGTGAGGTCTGGTGGTTTAGGTGGTAGAGGGAGGATAAGACTGAGGGAAGAGAAGAAGGCTGATGATTTGAATGCTTAAATAAGATTTTTGAACTCATTTGCACTTTTTAAAAAGTTTAGAAATATAATTATAATTTATTTTTTTGTTTTTATTTTTTGTTTTATTTAAATATGAGGGTATATTGGTCATTTTACATTCAAAAGTAGTGACAATGACATTTTCCGCAATGAAACGTTGATATAAGGACGAAATGCAAAAGAAATGAAACGTAATGACGTTTTACGCAATAAGTATCAAACGTAGGGACGTTTTGTGCTATTGAGCCAAGTACAAAAAGTTTGAAACGTAAGGACGTTTTCCACAATAAGTGTCAAGCGTAGGGACTTTTTATGCTTAAGCCTTTTAATAAGGCTTTCAGACTCATTTGCACTTTTTAAAAAGTTTGGAAGTATAATTACAATTAATTTTTTTATTTTTCTTTTCTTTTTTTTGTTTTATTTACATAGAAGGGTATATTGGTCATTTTACACTAAAAATAGTGAAAATGACGTTTTCTGCAATGAAACGTTGAAATAGGGGCGAAAATGTAAAAAAAAAAATGAAACGTAGGGATGTTTTGCACATTACATGCCAAACGTATGGACGTTTTGTGCTTTAAGCCTTTAGTTAATTTGTGTTCTTGATTTATCTTGTGTGCCTTGTGGAATTATTTAAATACTTACGCACTATTTGGGTAATTAGTTATTTAATATGTTTTAGGGATGTTTATGATATATTTATAACTTTACATTTTCAACACACGGGCAATAGATATGAGAGATAGCATATTATAGATAATCGTGAGATTTAATGCATTACTTTGCATATGAACTTGAAATAGGAATATGATCGGATCGTGTTTAGAATATGTTTAACTTACCTTGAGAGAGATAGTTAAATAAAATTGTGTTGGATGAATATGAACCTTATTATTTGATTATTTTTACTTCAAAGACCAAGTAGTTTAGGTAATTTGCATTCTTGATTTATCTTGTGTGCCTTCTTGAATTATTTAAATACTTATGCACCATTTAGGTAATTAGTTACTTATTATGTTTTAGGGATGTTTATGATATGTTTATAACTTTGCAATTTCAACACACGGGCAATAGATATGAGGAATAACATAGTATAGATAATCGCGAGATTTAATGCATTACTTTGCATATGAACTTGAAATAAGAATATGATCGAATCGTGTTTAGAATATATTTAACTTACCTTGAGAGAGAGAGAGAGAGAGAGAGAGAGAGTTAAATAAAATTGGATTATCAATTGTCAAGACGACACAAATCAAACTAGATTGCAGAGGTCAAGAATTGAAAACATGATTATAATAATAGGATGATTCAAAATTCTAATACATATAGCTCATTTTTAATTCAACTTTAGATAATTTAGATACAAACAAACAAATCTCTTATTCGAATTTGATAACGGATTAATACTATTCAATTTAAGATTTATTCCTCGCGAGACGATACTTTTACTCACTACATTATTAAATGTTAACGATCACGTGCACTTGTGGGATTTCACCGAACACTTACCAATGAGCTATTAATTTTAGTTGTGCGCTGTAAATATTGTGAACATGACCCAGACATGTGCTTTAAGACTAGATAAAGAATTGTGATTCTATCCAACGAGGTGAAAATTTAGTACCTTGTGGGATGCTGGATCATCCCCACTTATTCCAATAACCTCGGCTCCAGCTTTCTTGAATTTTTCATAAGAATCCCTGAATGCACATGCCTGTAAGAAGGGTCAAGACATTTTGAACTTACTGTCATTCATAAAGTTCAGTGTACTAAGTGCGAGATAAAAGTATATAAATTATAAAGTGGCATGCTAGATTAGAGCGTATAAATTATACAGAAGCTGTAAAGGTATACGGTCCCAAAACCACAGGGATGAGAATCTTGGAATTTGATACATACTAAGAATTAGTACAAGTACTTATCATTGAGTTAATACAAGAAACAACATTCTTTTTCACGTGCTGCTAAGAGCCTGTATCACTTCATTTTCTTAACTTTGTAGTAGACAGTTCTAAGTAAATTAAACTAATCTGATGCACAAAAACAAGTCAATGTCAGGAATGTTTATCCAATAGGTACAATAACATAATATCACAGACCCAAACCTCAATACACCCAAAGACCTATGTATTAGAAAAAACCTCACATAACGGGAGAGACTACAACTGATCCTCAAGTCCCATCCTCAAGATAGTCTATGACTCGCACAAATTTGGGACGAAGAAAATACAAATGGGAGGCTCCTATTTGCATGTACATGTAACAAGAGACTTTTCACTGCTACTAAATGTGGAATTCACGTCAATCCTATTAACGGTAGGAAAGACAAATCATATTCATTATACAAATCAAATTCCTTTTAAATAGGACGTTCCAAAATCAAATTCTAGCTAAAGGTGTGTCCTAATTTCATCAATTTCCTTTTTGATGATACTTGTGATGCTACGGAACAGCTTCTAGGAAAAGAAAAAATGTTCTAGCTGCTCGTCCAGGGTTTTGTAATATTTGCAGACATCTTCCTAAAATTTGACCAATTTTGATTTTTGGACCCAAAATGTATTCAAATATAAAGAAGAATGTCTAATCATTTCTTGATTTTCAAGCAAAGTTGGAAATATCCTCTAGTTATAGTTCTGGAGGTAACGCTGTTCCCCTCCCTATTGTATTTATTTATCACCTAATCTTCACGTGGTGAACATGCCAAACCTTTATCTAAGTTTGGATAAGAACCAAAAAACTCCTTCTTAGACATAGATGGATTTTGATTTAAAATAAAAAAATAAGAATCCACTAATTATGAAAAGGCTGCAGACACTTACAAATTTTGATGCCCTATGATAAATCACAATATAGTTTTGACGTAGAGCTCAATGGTAATGTTTTATTCACATAATCTGAAAAGAGTAAATTTCCAATATACATTCTTAAGTGGACAATGAAATTTTAAGAAAAAACAAATTTACCTGTTTGGTACAACCAGGGGTTTCATCAGCAGGGTAGAAATAAACAACCACAGGCTTGCCTTTGAATTTAGAAAGACTCACAGTCTTACCATCTTGATCTTTCAATGTAAATGCTGGTGCCAATGAACCTTCTGTAATCTTCAAAGTTGGAAACCAAGTATCCCATTGCATAAACAATGACTTTAATCAATTCTCAGAATATAAGATATTAACATTTTCTTCTGATCATTTCTCCTAAAAATTACTTAAATCCCATGTCAACTAATATATAAGGGCGCTATTCAGGTTGACATTTAAGACGGAAATTGAGTCCATTAAGTTTAAATGAGCAATTTGGACTGTCTAAAGCTCCAAAGAGCAATCGAATTTCAAGATTGGTATGCTCAAACAAGCTCAGGCATGTTAAGCTAAATCCCAAGCCGATTGAATATCGAAACTATAGCAAACACATAAGAATTGGGCCATTCTTACTAACAATGTTAACCTTTTAAAATAGAACTCTAAGTTTTATATACTTACTCCTAATTCAAATTAAGCTTATACAATTCGGAAAATTAACTCTTTCTTAAACTAGAATTCGAAAACCCCAATAAAGAAATTAAAGAAAAGCTGCATTTAATTAAGTAAATGTACCTTAGCAACAATTGAACCCTTCACATAAGAAGTAGATGGGATTGAAACAAGGGATGAATTAGAGAGCTTGAGGCCATGAAATTGCGATTGTGAAGATTTGGGAAGAAGAGAGGGATTTTGAAAGAATGTAGCTTTTGGGGTATGAGAATGGAGAAGAGAAGGAAGAGCATGATTAGTAGGGAGAGAAAATGAAGCCATTTTAAGTGCTTTTTCTAAATTTACTTATAACTGTGACGGAAAGATAGCTGAAGAATGGGGTTTTAGGAAGAAGGATAAGGAAGATTGATCATTGATGAGAATAAGGTGGTCTGGTCTGGTTGGGAAATTGAGATAGCTTTTGTGTTGTGCGTGGATGATTGCTGACCTTAACATCAGATTACGAGGTATGTGTGGTGATAAAGATTGCTGCTAGATGTGACTCTTTCAAGCATTTTTATTGAAAATCTAAAATAAATAACAAATAATTTTATCATTTTGTCAATGAATTAAATGTTTAATTAGTCACTAAACTTGTAATTTTGTCACAATTTACTCAGTACTCACTGAACTTTAAAATATTTACAAGTAATCAGAACTTTAATACGTTGCACTACATCATCACCAATCAGTACCATGCTTCATAAGTCACTAAACTTTAAAATACTTTCAAGTCACCACTGTATCATAACACGTTGCACTCTATCATTCAATCACCATATTTCATTAGTCACCGAACTTATACTTGTGTCACACTTCACTTATTAAACTTTAAAATACTTCCTAGTATCACTTACCTTCATAATATTTTCAAGTAAAGTTGATTTTCTATGAGCTTCAACGTATATCAAGAAAATAAAACAAAACAAATATCAACTAGATAATTGAGACTCTCAATCTAAAACAAGAATATCAATATGGATCAAAATGATATAATTTCTCTAGTAATCAAAAGCTATCTTTGAGGAAAAAAAAAAGAATGCTAGCTTCAAATTGACATAAATCTTAATTTAGATTATAATCTTTCTTTATCCCAAGAAAATAAAATAAAAAAATTATTTCTTTATTTCGATTGAGATCGTAGACCCAAATCAATAAAATAAAAAATTATATCTCAAACAAGCAGTGAAATTTTTGATTTAAAATCAATAATATTATAAGACTAACAAAATATAATTTTTAGAGTTGTCTCAGGGTAATTCAAGAGGAAAAAAGGTGTCGTCTTCATGTATGATATTTTATACTATAAAAAAATTAATTTAAATAAATGAGTAAAGTTTAGTGACCACTTGAAAGCATTTTAAAGTTCATTGAGCAAAGCATGACATAGTTATAAGTTCATTAACTAATGAAAAATGGAGAATGGGTGATAGAATGCAATATGTTCAATTTCAATAACTGCTCAAAGCATTTTAAAGTTCAATGACTAATGAAACATGGTACGTGATTGATGGAATGCAACATGTTAAAGTTCAGTGGCAACTCGAAAATTTTTTAAAGTTCAATGAATAAAGTGTGACGGAGATATTTTAAACTCTTTTGTCAATGCAGAAATTATGAACACTCTTTTTTATTCTCATGTTATTTTCACTATTGATGCTAGGATGTATGGAAACTATTAGAACGTTAGTACCTTTATTTTGGACACATTTTGAAAAAAAGAAACTTTTCAAAATCGTGATTATTTTATCTTATGTGGATATCCGGTGAATTGTGACAAATTCAAGAAAAACATATCAGAAATGCACATGTCATCATGAGTAACTAAAATAGTCTATGAACCTAACAATGCTCGCTTGAATTACCTTGATGAAGTGAGGCCACCAACCCACCCATCTCGCTAAAGGGAAAGACTTTGAGAGAATGTTCAGTCTCAGCGATCTCCTAATTAGGAGAAACAAAACGAGTTTTACCTTCATCCTAGAAAAGTAACAAGTGGTGAACCAATTTACCTTGTAGAAAGTTAATGAAAAGATAGTAAAGCACAAAATGGAATAATAAAATATTTTGCTGTCGTGTGATAAGAGTACTATTGTTACATGGTCTAGAACTGTAAAAAAGTGCAAAGTAGAACTAAGCAAGAGTTTTTGATTGATAAAAACCTCACCAATCAAAATGCAACATATGGATAAAAGTTACTATAATTCAAAATCCTCACCACTTTGAACTTTGAAGGCAATAGGTGTCAAAGAAATATGAAAGGTCTAAAAAGTGCATTTGACCTACTTTTTTTTTATAAATACTATATATAACATGAAGGAAAATGTATGTGTTACGTATTGAAATAATTATGGTTCACTTAGATTCCACATTATGAAAGGGTCAATCGCATGCCCACATGTCTTAGAATATTTGTAACCAACATGTGGATAAAAGTTATTATGATTCAAAATCCTCACCAATTCGAAGGCAATAGGTGTCTAAGAAATATGAAAGGTCTAAAAAGTGTGTTTGACCTAATTTTTTACAATAAATACTACATATGACATGAAGGAAAAGGTATGTGTTACGTATTGTAACCAACATGTGGATAAAAGTTACTATAAATCAAAATCCTCACCAATGCGAAGGCAATAGGTGTCTAAGAAATATGAAAGGTCTAAAAAGTTACTATAAATACTACATATAACATGAAGGAAAAGGTATGTGTTACGTATTGTAATAATTATGGTTAAAACTTAGATTCCACATTATGAAAGGGTCCATCGCATGCCCACATATCTTTTAATATTTGTAACTCGATTATCGAGGCACCCTTGAGCCAGAAATGTCTTGTCCATTGAGGCTTCCCTAAGCAACAGAGTGTTCAAAATCCAAAGACTTGGCTAGAATGTGATTAGAGCCCTCAACTGATAACATGACTAAAAGGCCTCAGATAGTTTCAACACGAACGACATCTCGGTGTGAATTCTGACAAATCAACTTGAAAGTTAGTGCACTAAACCCATGTATACATATGTATTTATTGGATTAAGTGTCACAAATGCAAAAACATCAACAAACTTTAAAAATGGGACTTAATAAAGACTACATAGTGATGGATTGACATAAAATGACAAAATGCCCTTGAGATCGCCTAAAATATGGTCATTGCACAACGGCAAACTGATCAGAAAATCATCAACCAATTTTCAGACTCCAACTTCCACTCTTAAAAATTAAAAGAAGGACTAATTCTCTCTAAGAATCGCCTAGGATTAAAAGAATATTTTAGGTCAAATGTCCCAGTGATTGAAAATAACACTGAAATCTTAATCTTTTCTTTACAAACACTTACTTAACCAAAATCGTACCCAAAAAAACAAAGGGAAACCTTGTCGAAATTTTAGCAAAAATTATAGTTGGCTTTAAAAAAAATACCCTTTTTTTTTTAGATCAAATGAGTCAGTTCGCTATGAAAGTGCAAGTCGTAGGTGCACGGGTCGTGTTCAAATAATAAAGTGGACCTTTTGAGTTTGGGTTGTCAATCACTTAAGAAATACTTATTTTCGATTATACAACTTTAGTTAATCTAATTTTAATAAAAAAAATAAGCAAACACACAATAAAATTTGATTTTGGAAAAATAAGGAAAATTATCTAAAAATCTAGAAATAAGAAAATATAAATATTTGAGAATTTTGGAGGAAAAATGTGGTTGGGATTCTTGGTTTCGCCTAACCGTCGCCTAATTAATTTTTCTACAAGCCAATTAATAAATTACGCATTTACGATATTAGACCCGATTTTCCAAGTTTAGCTAATTACCTCTCTCGAACGAAATTAACCATAATTGATTGTTTAACCTACTATGCCCCCGTTTGACACCCATTTTTTTATCTCATTCTCATTCTCATTTTTCTACAGTACTCATTTCTAACCACACATTCTCCAAATAAAATAATATTACACATAAACTCAAAAATTCTTTTTACTTTTTAACACAAATAAAATAATATTACACATAAATCCAAAAATTCTTCTTACTTTTTAACCACACATTATTTACATCAATCACTATTCAAAAACTCATTTTTCAAAAGAATGGGTGCCAAACAAGCATCATATCTCTATTTCGATTAAAACCTAACAATCGCATTAAATCTTTGTGAAAATAGCTCAATTGATCACCTAAGGTTAGAAGTATATCTCTATCCCCTACACAAATCTAAGGTTTATACTATTTGATCTAAAATGCACAATCTTTTTGTCGAACGATGTACAAATCATTAAACATAACTATTCATTGGTCATATAAATGAAAATGCAATACTGACAGTAGTATATGCACATGAAAATAAGAATTTAACCATTAAAAAAATATTGAAATTAATCCAAATTAAGTTGAGTTTCAACCATAAATCTCAACAATAAAACTTAGCCCATATTACATATATGATTAAAAGGAGAATATTTTTACAATACATTACAAATAGAAGATAATGATGAAGAAAATACAAGAGAGAAGATAAAGCCCTCTTTAGATTTGGATTCTTGATGACTTGACTTTGATTTTCCCCAACTATTTCTCCAATTGTATTCTCCATGTGCTTATGATTTCCACCCCCTCCCCATCCCCAAATTACAAGAAAAATCAAAAGAAAAAAAAAAGGAAAAAGAAAGGAAAAGAAAATGAAAAGAAAAAGGGAAGAAGAAGAATAGATGATAAATAATAATGAGGAAAATGGACTAAATTTGGCTTATAATAGACCTAGAAACGTGTCCCAAAAACTCACTGAAATTTGGCAAAAATAGCTAAAATGGCCCCAGCCGAGAAGCGGCACACGCGGGTGTTGCTCTTTGCTCTTGGGTTAGTTTTTAAGCCTCCTGCGCCCACGCTAGTCTTTTCTCCTTTCATGTCGTCCAGCTTAGTCCTCCATTATTTGCATGTCAAGACACTCCACTTTGATCTTGTACAATCTGATCCTCAAATTTTGACTTTCATTTCAGTCATGCCCTCCAAAAATTGCATCTAATGTTATTTAATTTTTTGCACTTGTGCATTTTTGTTTCCAAATTTATAATTTTGCACGATTTAGGTCATTTTTCCTCTTTTTTGCATTGTTCTATTTTCTTGGATGTTTTTTTACCTACAAAAGTAATAATTACATAATTGTGAGTAGAAATTTGCTCATTTAATCAATATTTAAGCTCGTTTACGTACTAAATAAGTGTGCAAAAACACACATATCAAATACCCTCAAACTTAAGATCTGGCTTGACTCGAGAAAGATTATCTAAAA